AATCATATCTATGATTGGTATTTCAATATTTTATTTTAGTTGTTAAATCTCAAATACATTCTATAGAATTTGAAGTTCTCGGATATTTGAGAAAATAAAATAAAATAAGAAAACTGCGCATTTTTTCTGTGCATGTATAGTAATTATAAATTCACTTCTCAAAATAGCCAGAATAAAATAACTCATCGTAATTCAAAAGTTAGTATCGTCGTAATCAAGGTGCCTAACTGCAAACTTCGTCTTACATATAAAGTACAGTGTATGTGTTTGTGCGCATATCAAACAACTCTTCCGCTCCCACTGGTCCGATTCCAATGATTCATATCTCATTCAAAAGCTCTTGAAAGAATAAGCGCAGTGAAATATTTTCGTTGAGCTCAAATACAGGGTTGCCAGATTATGCGAGGTTAAAAATATATATTAATATATTATACTAGCCATTATCGTTGCTTTCATGGTTCCAGGAGTGTAACTCTTAGTTTCATTTTGTATCCAAAATTGCAGCTAACTTAAAATTTTAAGCTACTATAAAAGCCGTCCTATCGAGCGGAATTTAATTTTGGTTTGGCCAACATAAGAAGAGCTAGGGAGGAGTAGATGCAATATGTTTCAATAAACTAGAGAAACACTAAAAGCAGCTCACTGCATTTAAGTATTGAATTAATATTTAAGCTTGCCTTTTGAAAGTTCAACGACAATTCATCTTTTGCCACTTAATTCATATGTAATTTGATGTACGTAGATCCTTGTTTTCCGTATATAAAAAAAAAATATTTCAAGGGTTAGAGACCAGGGGCAATTTATAATACAAAATCAATATAGTGTAAAGATGGGAAAATAGTAATTAGAATTGGATATACATTCAGCATTTGAAGAGTTAAAAAAATATGAAAGCTAATTAAGTAAAACCTATATCATGGAATTATTACGAATATATGTGAAATTTGAAGCTCAATTTTCCCATAAATTCTGAGATCAAAAAGCCGCAGCTCTATTTTATAGTAATTTGTATTTACTCAACTCACCACGAGGTCATGTTGTGACACAAGGTTCGTTTAATATGAGTAACCCGAGCGAATATACTCTTGGCCAGGAACAAAAATTACCGAGCCCATGCAACCGTCGGTTGCTCTAGCCTTGGTGCGTGCACAGATCACTCTTTCGAGGGCCGGTCGAATGTGCTTTGGATTTTTTTTTTGATAGCTGCACTTAAATAGATATACCTGGATACTATATTCTTCTCTTCTTTAGGTGTTTTTGCAGAAAATGCTAAAAGAATCTAGGTTAAATAAATACACACACACACACACACACACACACACACACACACACATATATATATATATATATATATATATATATATATATATATATATATATATATATATATATATATATATATATATATATATATATATATATATATATATATATATATATATATATATATATATATATATATATATAATGTTGTAACTTAACTAATGCATGGAATAATAATGCAACACAAAATGCACTTAGAACAAAAATGTATTGAACCAAGAAAGTGTACACAATATTTACATATAGTCTTTTGTATATTCCTGGTAAAACCGTTCCTGGAGAATGTGTTGACTGAGTCGCAGTCGAGCAGAGTCTCTGGTTCAATCTCTTCCCGGTACCAACCATATTTATATGGTCGGTACTTCACTATGCAAATTAGGTGGATCTTACCACAACACTTAATTCAGTCGTAGGCGGCTTTCTAGGTTTTAAACAACCTGTCAATTGTGTCATTTGGACTAGATGGCAAAACTACCAAAACAAATATTCACATTATTTTATAATATTCCCCATATAAAGATGATGTTGTAAATAAAGATTCTAATTTTGTACTCAATCCTGGCCAGATATCACGATTTCAGTCATTTTCACACCGACGTGACGTGGTTTCTCTCTCTTTTTTTTACAAATATTTTCATAGTAATTGGCATCTAGGTCCCACCCATTTACTTTTGAAATAGCTAATTGCAACCGACATTTCTAGTTCAACAGTTTCTTTTTCCCGCACATGTCAAATTCTGTTTATTTGCTTCCCTGATAACTACAATCTTCAAACATTTAAATATATAATCTCTCGCCTTCTTCTATTTTGTTTTTATCCCATCATCTATTGGCCTTTCCTCCCTATTCTCAGTCCTCTCTTTCACTTTCACTTACTGTAAATTCCTTCACATTCGTTGCATTCCTATCTTGCTTGAACTGAAACGTTAAAAAAATTAATTAGTGTAACATTTTTATTGTTATTAAAGTTCTAAACATAGAGCTTTAAAAAAGTATACTTCCTGGGGCTGTACACAGTAACAGAGGTGTCAAGAGAAAAAAAAACATTTGACCTTCCGTTTTTTTGCGTGTATAAATGTTAAACTTTGCAAAAATATATAAGTATCTCTACCTATAAAACGCAGGATGTGTGTGTGTGTGTGTGTGTGTGTGTGTGTGTGTGTGTGTGTGTGTGTGTGTGTGTGTGTGTGTGTGTGTGTGTGTGTGACGAATGCACGGCCGCAATTTTCGACGGATTTGCACCAAAATTTATATGCACATGCTCCAAGTTAGCGTGAAAGTCAAGGCCGACGTTGCATTTCCCAACCCCCTCGATAGTGGAAATAATCGTTTTTTCATACCTCTACGGCAGTTTTCATATACTTTGCGGCCGTTTTCTAATGGCCAGAGTGAGAGCCAATAGCTGGCTGCCACGAATAGGCAGGAAGATTCTATTGGCCAGCGTGAGAGCCAACAGCTGACTTACACGAATGTTAACTAGCATGCTAGCATGCAAAAAATCGATAGTTGCATTCGTCACAAGTGGGAAAACTTTAAATCTGCATGGCACTTTACTCCAATTGGATCATTCGCTTGCTTAATCTCAACGTTGATTTTGATTCCGCAGAACTAGTTTGGGTGTGAAAAAAAATTTTTTGTTAACATTCTTTTTTCATTCGGTTTTTCCAGTTACGAGTCCTTTTTTTTAAAGCTTTTTTTCGTAACAGATTTAATGTTTAGTATAGAGCTTAGAAAAAATTCGCAGTGTGAGATAAGCAAGAAGTAAGGCATGTAGCAACATCAGCACGGCAAAGGACACTCATTTAAAGACAAAGAAGGGCAAAAATATTTACGTCAAGTGATAGCGATTGCTGTATATCGTACGATTTTTGAATCAATCACAGGCAACGCCGGACCATGCTGCTAGTTTGTAAATAAATAACTAAAAGGAATTATTTTTTTTTAATTAAACATACTTCCAATTGGCTTTAAACTTCAAAATTACTTTTACTTTCTTTCTTTTTATGTGACATGTCCTTTCAGGATGCATGCGACCATGGCTCTCCACCTCCCGCTATCCTTTGCAGCTCTCAACAAGTTCCCCCTCTCTGCCATCTCCCCCAGGCTCCGTTCTGTCATCCAGTTACTCAAGCCCGTATGTATCAGATACTCCACGCCCTCTTTCTTCATTATGTGTCCCAGAAACTTCATCTGACTCTTCTTCATATTAAGTATAAGCCTGCTACTTGTTTGTAAACTCTCTAAGTTCTCGTCATTGCTCACACGCTCGGTCCATATTATCCTTAGCATCCTTCTGTAGAACCACATCTCCGTCACGTCGAGTCACTTTTTCATCTTTGAGGAAATCTTCCAAAATTCGCTGTCGTAGAGAAGGACAGATGTCACGTAAAATCATTGTATTCTTTTCTTTGTTAACAAAGAAATTCACCTGTCTCATATTACTCTGCCCAGCTACTGGACTGAGTCATTGGCCATCCCAATACTTTCGCGGATCTTGAACTTACCGTCCTCTGACAAGACGCTTCAGAGATATTTACACTTCCGCGTCTACTTGATTCTAATGTTCCCAAACTAAAAATCGCATGTATTCTGTCTTGTAGTTTATGCTTAGTCACTTCTTACTCTCCCTTGCTAAATTCTATTGGAGATTTTGTAGTTTCTTTAACGTGTCTGCTATCAGTACCGTGTCATCTGCGTATCTTATGTTGTTAAGATTGTGGGTACTAATGCTAAATCCCGGTTGGAATTTGCAACTCTCTCAGAATTGCTTCGCTGTATATAGTGAACAGTCGCCTATCAGCAGACGTTTAGTGTTTGATGATAAGACATTAGATATATGCTGCGACAGGAACACTTCTCACATTTTAAACAGTCACCTTTGTGGTGCTAATGATTATGGGCAAATGGCGCTGATGCCTGATCTAGCTAATGTCCTTCCATTAATCGCAGGTATTTCTGACGCACTCTGACGGTAATGTCTTACCATTATGGTGGAGGTATTGCTGGAAGTCAGATGGGTTGAGATATTTTTTGAGGCACTCTGTAATATGAAGCTGTGATAGATATTTTATTTATATATTTATTTATTAGCGGCGGGCTTTCAAATTTTACTTTAAAAAAAAACAGGTTAGAATGGGGTATGGCAACTATATTCTAATAAAATTAGAGTGTAGGAGAGAGATATTAGAATCAGTCAGGCTTCCAGTATTTTAAGATATACAGTATTTTATGCCTATATTTTTAGCTTGGTCCGTTTATCAAGTAGGCCTAAATTGTCAATACTGTTTAAGATAATCCCGCTTCCCCACATTCTTATGTTATTAGGATATATGTGCCATACCCAAATCTTTTCGCGTTACGTAACAGTGATAATCCCATATCATTTATTTTTTTACATTTAACAACATAGATCTTCTGCTGGTAATCCAGAGAAGCTTTAGTCGCACATCTAAACGTACGTACACGTATATATACTAATTAATATATATCTTTGCTATGTATAACAACATTGAGCAGTATTATGTTTACATCCCATATATAATTTTGACGATTTTTTATTTGCCTGCCCGCTTATGCACACCAACACGCGCGTATACTCTTGATTATATCTAGCCATTTGATTTATCTATCTTATAAATATCTATGTATCTATGTATCTATCTCTGTATTTCACTCACTCTCTCTCTCTATATATATATATAGAGAGAGAGAGATAGATAGATAGATAGATAGATAGATAGATAGATAGATAGATTAAATTATTTTTCTCAAGTCCACTTTTATCAGTCTTTCCATATGAATAACTATGTTGAATATCATTTGAAATTACCATAATATTCGATCTTCATAGTTGAAGTAATGTCTTCATCTTTGTTGCCATTATGATAACATTTTGACTATTGCACCCGTTCCCCAGTTATTTCTTTTTAAGTAAGTCCTCGTCTGTTTTGTAATATGGCGGTTTTGGTAAAAAAAAAAACTTCAAGGAAACATTGGAAATAGAGTAGATATAAGTAGTTTTGTTTGACTTCGCTGACACAGTAATTCATATTATTATATTCTGGTGTTATTGCCAGACATATTCTTATGTTAAAAACAAGAGAAGTTTCTAAGTGAAATTCAAATTCATATCGATTATTTATGCTTGTATCTCCATATATTTAAACATTCTTTTTTTAAGCTTCAGTTCTGATACTAAAAAAAAAAATTTAATTTCAATTCACAGTAGGAGACCAGTAGGATACCTTCTACCATGTTGCTCAAGATTTCCATCAATGACTTCTTGCGTACTTTTGACAACGGGAATTAAAACATTAGGTTCGGGAGTCACATCTGAATAGAAAAAATATGGAGGTTCTCATCTTCTGCATATTTTATACTGAATATATTACTGATTCAGTTACTCTTTAAATGAGCAAAATCATTTAAATCATTGGGAAAATTTAATTAATGCATGCGTTTAAGCTTAGTACGACATGTTGATATAATTTTAGACATATTATCTTGCTCGAATAGATTATTAATCACTTCAATAGACTATTTTTATAATTATTTGGGGTACATTCCGTGTTCTGCATTATCATTCCAATGATTCCCCAGTACTGTAACTTCAATATTTTTGCATCGTTCTCTATTTTTTGCCTTTTCTTCCTTCCAGTGATTTATAATGAGCTATTCCCATGAATTAAAAGTTTACAATGTCTTTTGATTATTTTACTTAGTAAATGACATAAACTGAATATTTATTGCACCTCACTTACTGCAATGCTTTTGTATATGTAATTCTATCTATGCTTTTGTATATGTAATTCTATCTCACTGTTTTTTGTGAAGTGGATTTTTTTTTATTTTGGTGAGATTCCCACAGAAAAAAAGAACTACATTGTTTGAAATCGGGCTAATGTCGTGATAATTCTTTTTCAGCGTTTTGACTCCTTACTCCGTTAAATTATCATGGAATTTCGAACACAGCTATTTATTTCCTGTAAAGTTCAATATCATTCTCGTTCTTCTATATATGTGTATGGATATATTCACTTGTATATTTATGACTGCAAAGCTATTGTTCACCATACACCCACTGTGTGTAAGTCTCTACTGTTCGGACGAAGGGTTATTAAATTCATAATTTATGTCTCCGAATTCACGAGCGTAACGTTCAAAATGAAATAGCTACATAGTAATACAATATGACCAGATATCAGTAATCAAGTTCAGAGGGAATATCAAGTTCTATTTGCGTAGATTAAATGAATGTCACATTTCAAAGCCCCTGAAGATGGCTGGAGCGTTAATTTGCCGAAACTTTATGATAATCGTAATTGTACTAACGCGGCAAATAGAATGAGCATCGGTGTGTAACTGGGCGTACTCTCCACCATACAGATTATTATTCAGTTTTACATGGCTATTCGTATGATCTCCATTCATTAATTCCACCTGTTCAAATATTTATAATGTTGTGGGTTCACGCTAAGCCTACATTGTCTAATCACCTTTGGATTTCAAGGTTCATGAAATTCTGTTTTTCCCCAACACCTTTTTCGCGAGAACGGCAAATTTCTAAAGTAGGCACCAGATGATGCTACTTTAAGAAACTAAACTTAACGTCATCGAGTCGAGAGTCAATCGTTATCTACCCGGTGTCTAATCACCCTCATTTTCCTTGGATTTCAAGGTTCATAGAATTCGGTTTTCTTCAACAGCGTTTCGCGAGAACGGCAAATTTCTAACGTAGGCTCGAGTGATGATGCTAATTTGAGAACCTAAAGTTAACTTCATCGTGCTAAGCGTCAATCTTTATCCACCCTCTTTATTCCCATAACCACCTATTACCACAAAGGCATACTTAACTCATATCACACCCGTCAGTCTTTATAAAGACTTCACAGTCATTCATCAATCTTCGGTTACACTGGAGCTATTCCTTAGCGATATTGTAGGATTAAAACTACACACTTTCTTTTTCAAAGTTTGATTAAGTTTCTCGAAGAAAAGAAAATACCTTATATACCCGTATAACTCGCGAGGTCTATTTTAAATACAGCTGTACATTTTGACTATAGAAAATGGATCTGAAGTTTGGTCAAGGACAAGGCCAAGGCCAGCAGCATATACGCTAATTTCACATCTCGTGTAAGATGTGATCGATTATAAAAGGTTCAACATCAGTCTTAAATGTGGCTTCATACACGTATGTTCGCACTTGTACATATATTAAAATTTAGACAAAAAGATATAATTATTGGACAGACACTGAACTCACGTAGATAGATGAATTCTGCATCATTTCTTGTCGGATATATATATATATATATATATATATATATATATATATATATATATATATATATATATATATATATATATATTATATATATATATATAGTTATGAAAAGCTTCGTAATCCGTATGTACTCCCAATGAGGATGAAATATATATATATATATATATATATATATATATATATATATATATATATATATATATATATATGTATATATATATATATATATATATATATATATATATATATATATATATATATATATACATACATGCATGGAGTAATTATACGCACAATCCATTCTGAGCCAATCACGCCACAACACAATTGTGACGTGTGATTTATTTGTGCATTATTATTCATATATATATATATATATATACATATATATATATATATATATATATATATATATATGTGTGTGTGTGTGTGTGTGTGTGTGTGTGTGTGTGTGTGTTGTGTGTGTGTGTGTGTGTGTATGTATGTATGTATATGTATATGCACACCGATTAAAGGACATATGTCTATACAGCATTCATATATATATATATATATATATATATATATATATATATATATATATATGTGTGTGTGTGTGTATACCTAGATAGATAGATAGATAGATAGATAGATAGATAGATAGATAGAGATAAAAAATAAATATGTGAACGATGTGAGTGTATTTGATAGAGAAGGAAACTGAAGAAGAGAGACAGAGAGAGAGAGAGAGAGGGTGAGAGAGCGCGAAAGATTTTCAGACGTATTGATTTCTGGGCTTAAGAGTAGAATCTTCAAATGTCACTTAGTCATCGCTGCCTAACGTAATGTACGTGCTTGTTAGTCTAATTTTTGAAAACGAGTCGAAAAAGGACTTTTTTTTCCTCACGAGTATTTCTAAAATAAAAAAAAAGAAAATCTGCGATTCATTATATTTTGATCATTTAACACTTGGCACAAAATAAATAGGATTTTGTTTTCGTGGCGATGGGAGAAAGATAATGTTAGTAATAATAGAAATAATTTTCTGTTTCGATACAGACATCAAAATCACACAGTAATATTTCTGTTTTATTATTCTTTTACAATCAGTAGCCTCTTTTGACTCAGTGGCTTTATTGCCTTTCTTGGAGTGTATTTAATAAAAAAAAAATTAAATAAAATAAATAAATGATGTTGCCTGTTTCGAAATCCCTTCTTTTCCTAAATTAAATTCGATGAGAATTACTTTTTTTTTCTTATTATGGGCTATAGCTATAATGGGGACATTTATGCTACTGTATGCCAATTGAAAGCGAAAAGACACCCTCAGGATAGATGGTTACTGAGTGATGTTCTTGTAACATGTAAAAGCAGGAAATGTAGCGTCCTGGATATGAAGATAAACTATAACCGACTGCAAGGACACAGGCCAGGAGATTTTGAGGAACGTCGAACCATATCATAATTGTTTTTGTTCCTTGGTTCACATTGACTCGGGGAGGTAACACCTATTAGTGTCCCAGTTATGGGGAAATAGTTAACCCCCGAAACTATTGTCAAAAGACTTGAAGGAATGAAAATAGGAAGGAATGAATAATGAGTTTTATAGTAAAAATAACAACAGTACATTTTTGAAAAATTATTTACTATTTCTCTCAAGAAGATTATATTTCGCCACTAAAAAATCAAACAAACAAATGTAAGAAAATTGTCGAAATTAAATAGCCTGTTGAGTTCGATATAATGCAGAAAAAATAAACCCAATCTAAAGCAGGAAATATGAAGGCCATATTTTGTGGATATCCGCTAAATCAAGACGTGAAGCTATTGAGACCGTAACTGATCGGGTGTCTGTTACGCAATGTAACAATTCCAGAGAAGACGTATGGTTCTGTGCTCATATTTTATATTTAGAAATCATTGATACAAATCAATAGAAGCATCAGCAATATTATAGGTCCTGACCTGATGTGTCGGTTCAGTAATTTTTTCAGTTGCGGAAATTTGCTTCATTGTGCAATTTTCATAACTACTTTCATGGTAATAATTCGAATGAGGTCAGCCCAGTTGTACCTAGACTTAATTAATTTAAGCGTAGTTTTAGACAAGCGACTAGGTTTCATCAATTTAAAGTTAAGTTGATTAGATGTAACCATAAGTTCTATGCTAACAGTTATTTTCTCGCACTTCTCGATTGTGGAACTACCTCCCGACACCATGCTTTCCAGCTAACATTAATCTTAAAATATTTAAATCCAATGTCATTTACTATCTGATGTCTTCCTGAGTATTTTTCCGTTTTTCCCATCCTTTAGTATTGTGTCTTTTTTATAATTCTTCAACATCCAATAAACAATTGTGTCAGAGCGGCTTTACTGGGTTTCTTGGTGTGAACATGCTTAAAAAAGAACACATTAAAAAGAAAATAGGAAAATATAGATAGATAGATAGATATACATATAAATATATAAATATAAAGGACCTGATTTATCGCGTTTGTATTTCACTTCATATAGACCACTAAAAGAAGTACTGGCATATATATATATATATATATATATATATATATATATATATATATATATATATATATATATATATAACGCCTTTCCTCCTCTGATGTACTTAGTCATTTTGGTTGGGTGATTTTTGTGCAGAGGTTTGTCAAATTTTATTTAATGCCGAAATCTAAATATTTTGGAAAAAAAATTACATGCCGTTAATTGCAGATAAAATATATTGTTGGTAATTCTATTATAAGATATACTGCTGATCATTTATGCTATAAATTGTATTTTTTGTGATTCTACAATGAAATGTTTTGTTGCAAATTTTACTATAAAATGTATTACTGGTAATCTTACTATAAAATATATTACTGGTCATTTTGGTAAAAATACGTAATATTCGACGTTTTATTATTAAAAAAAAACAATTTTCTACTTGAAACCTGTTCTGATTTAGTTTAGGGGATAATTATTTGCCCATAGCTTGGCATCTAACAAGTACTACCACCGGCCTGGTTCAGATTGGACCTGCTGGATGTAGTTTGTCGTCTTACCAAGGAACTTTATATTCTTACATCTTTTTTATGTATACATGTTGCGAAGAGAAATTTCTACATTTTCCTTGATGATGTCCCTTAGAGGACGAAACATGTTGTTAAACAAATGTTAACTTTTGTGGTTATTGAAATATATATATATATATATATATATATATATATATATATATATATATATATATATATATATATATATGTGTGTGTGTGTATACACGTACATACATATTTCTTTGTCTAGACTCGTTACTCTCTCTCAATCATTATATATATATATATAGGGTTTGTCTGGCTCACTAGGTGTATCTATCTATCTATCTATCTATCTATATATATATATATATATATATATATATATATATATATGTGTGTGTGTGTGTGTGTATGTGTGTGTGTGTGTGTGTGTGTTTCTCTGGGGGTGTAGTGGACGTTGGCTGTTGTCTATGTGAATAAATATTGTGAGATGGATTGGATCTGTGGAAGAGACAAGATTAATAAAAAGATTGCAAGAGGTAAAACTACCTTTCGTTCGTTAAGGGAATTTATGAAGGCAAAGTAGGATTTATTAAATGCTAAATACATTCTACATTAACTTGATAATTTATTTGAGGGAAATTATCAAGGTAATGTAGAATGTATTTAGTATTTAATAAATCTTACTTTGCCTTCATAAAATCCCTCAGCTAATGATACGTAGTTTTTCCTCTTGCATATTTTTCTTAAGTTTGTGTGTGTGTGTCTGTGTGTGTCTGTGTGTGTCTGTGTGATTGGAATATTGCACTCACAAATTTTCTGTGATAGCTGCTGATCTTCTGACGTATTCATAGATAAAAACATTAGTTGCAATAAACAGCTGTCACACAAAACGACTACAAAATGCAAAGGATAGTAGAAGAACAAGAAAAAGCAGACTTAAGTACTCTATAGGTTAGAGACTTTACAGAAATCGGCAATAAAATGGTAGTCCGCAAAATTAGAGAATTTTATTTTTCCAAATGGTCAGTAAATGCCTCCATGATCATCATTTTAATTTCACTATTTTTATTCGTAAGTTAGTTTATAACAACCACACCCTAACACCTCTAGAAAAGTAAGTACCCAAACGTATGTCCTCTGGGCAAGTGGTTTGTGCAAATCATTCGCGTCGATTTCTAAAATCATCAGATTTATGTACTTGTCCCCTTATAAAAGTTCCATCAGCACCTAACTATATGTCAAGTTTTGGTCACGAAAATACGCGGTATATGATAAGTTGGCCATGAGTCGTCGTTAAAAACAGCATCGTGTGAAACAGGATACATGTGTCCTTTGATAATGGTAGCCATGCAATTTTACGTCGCGTTATATCATAGAAGATATACGGGGAAACCTTATGAAAATTGCTGGACCATCCATGCTTACCAAAATCTGACCGAATAACCAAAAGGTCAACAGTATTGTTTAATCACTTCTCTGTCGGGTCGTGACATTTTTAACGCGTCCTCACATATGCACACATACTCGTCGAAAATACAAATAGCAATAAAGGCCTCTAAGTTAAAAGAAACCATAAAATAACGACACTTCCTAAAACAATTCATAATTCAAACGATTTTTGAAAAAAAGGTTTATTTATTTAATATATTTCGTTTCTTTGAAATTAAAGAAAAATATTGACATAGACACAATATGGTTTTTCGTTCATATCATTTTGTTTGAAATGCTTTACTTCTGCTCCTAATATCATCATATTCTCTATGTCATGTTCACGTCGACTGTTCTCCCCACCTTACACTGCAACGACGGAGACATTAGTCTTGTCGTTAGAGGATGATCGTGGCTTAGACACACAATCAGGAATCTCAATATTTTGTTCTTGTAAGTATATATATATATATATATATATATATATATATATATATATATATATATGTGTATATGTGTGTGTTTGTGTATGTATATATATATATATATATATATATATATATATATATATATATATATATATATATATATATGAATGAGATTGTTCTGTTTTTGAAAAAGCAAATTAAAATCACTACCATGAAATAAGTTTTCATATTACATTTCCTTACGTGAGTATTCTTGACTAAACAAATAAACGGGGAAAATAGTGATATTTCAGAAATTAAAAATCTCAAGTGCCCTCGATGGAGATTCTTGGCCGAAAACCAATTATATCTATCAAAAATAATGTAATAATCTTTTAGTCAGATTCTACAGACATTATCGATAATTGATACTTGAAAGAACAGGTCCTCATATTCAAAATAATTAACCAAATTCTCAAGTGTAGCCAATCAAACGGTCAGTTATAAAGATCTCTGCTCAGTTTCATAAGTACATACGATGTTAGACAAAAAGCACTTAGCGAATCGGGCGAAGAGTTTCATTTCAAAAAATGTACAATTAATATATTTACAGTTGAACAGGCGGATATACTTCAGCTTATTATTAGCGGGAACACAAACAATAAATCAAATGATAAATCTACAGGCACTGTTTCAGGAATCTTACCAACATATTCCCAGAGGAAGTGCATTTTTCTTTCGACTTCCAACCAACTCTTGAAACTGAAATTTATATAAACAGAAATATTAACATTTAATCTTGTTTGCAAGTAGTTAACAAAATGAAACACACACAAATAAACTAAAAACTTAGATACCAGCAGCATGAATATTTACAAGGAATCTGAATATTTATTATGATATGGCGATTTATTTAAGACTGCT